CATTGTTGTTTGGCGGGCCCGGGCTGGGGATTCGAACCCGCCACCTTAGGTGTATGTGGCTGGTGCCTTAGCCGCTTGAGCCACAGGCGCCGAGCCGCAACCTCAAACTCTTATGTTCAAGTGATCTTCTTGCCTCAGCCTCCCAAGTAGCTGGGACTACAGGCACCCACCACTATTTCCACCTATTTTGTTTTAAGAGGTGGGGGTCTCACTCTTGCTCAGGCTAGTCTGAAACTCCTGAACTCAAGCCATTTATCTGCCTCTGCCTCCCAGAGTGCTAGGATTATAGATGTCAGCTACCATGCCCAGCCCATTCTAGGTTTCTGAGTTCACTGCCTGCTAAGTGGTGAGGAGACTGGGAAGCAAGGGGTGAAAATCCCAACATTTAAAGCAAATTACAACAGTCTGTTGCGGTGGCTCATGCCTATAATCCTAGCTATAATCCTAGCACTCTGGAAGGCCTAAGTGGAAGGATCACTTGAGCTCATGAGTTTGAGGCCAGCCTGAGCCAAGATCAAGACCCTATCTCTACTAAAAATAAAAAAACTAGGTGGTACCTGTGACTCAAAGGAGTAGGGCACCAGCCCCATATACCAGAGGTGGCAGCCCAGCTACTCAGGTGACTGAGGCAAGAGAACTGCTTGATCCCAAGAGACTGAAGTTGCTATGAGGTATGATGATACCAAGGCACCCTACTCAGGGTGACAGAGTAGGACTCTTGTTTCAAAAAAAAAAAAAAAAAAAATTAAAAGCACAGTGAAAACCCCTACCACCCCCATAAGGAAGGCAAGAATCAGAAAATTGACAGAGACAAGTATTGGTGAGGATACAGAGGACCAAGAACCCTCTTACAGGGCTGGTGGGAATGCAAAGTAGGATAGCTGCTGCTCAAAACAGCCCAGCAGAGTGGCACAGGTGGCTCAGTGAGTAGGGCGCTGACCCCATATACCAAGGGTGGTGGGTTCAAACCTAGCCCAAGCCAAACCTCAACAAAAAAATAACCAGGTGTTGTGGCAGGCACCTGGAGTCCCAGCTACTCAGGAGGCTGAGAATTGCCTAAGCTCAGGGGTTGGAGGTTGCTGTGAGCCGTGTGATGCTGCCACGGCACTCCACCGAGGGCAGTAAAGTGAGACTCTGTCTCTACAAAAGAAAAACAAAAAACAAACAAAAAAAAAACAACCCAGCAGCCCCTCTAATGGGTCAATACAGAGTCAGTCACCTCATGACCCAGCAATTCCACTCCTAGATTCACCACTGAGAGTAATGAAAACATACATTCTCATAAAAACGTATACAGTACTACAAAACCAAAAGGTAGCAACAGGCTCAGTGCCTGTAGCTCAATGGCTAGGGTGCTGACCACATACACCAGGGCTGGCAGGTTCAAACTCAGCCCGGGCCTGCCAAACAACAATAACAACTACAACAAAAAAATAGCCAGTGTTGTGGCAGGCACCTGTAGTCCCAGCTACTTGGGAGGCTGAGGAAAAATAATTGCTTAAGCCCAAGAGTTTGAAGGTGCTGTGAGCAGGGCAACATAGTTAGACTTTGTCTTTAAAAAAAAAAAAAGTATTTAAAATGTATTCAGTTCAGGCCCACCCAGGGACACCAAAAACAAACAACAACAACAACAACAAATAAATAAATAAAATACACTCAACACTTGAGTTGTGGAGACTAAAGGTTCAAATCCTTAAGTGGTTCAAGATGTCTAATTAAGTCTGTGTGTTTAAAATCTCACCATAGGGCAGGTACATTGGCTCATGACTGAAATCCTAGCACTCTGTGAAGCCAAGGCAGGTAGACTGCTTGAGATAGGGAGTTCAAGACCAGCCTCAGCAATACCAAGACCTCATCTCTACTAAAAGTAGAAAAAACTGAGGCAAGAGGATTGCTAGTACCCAAGAACTTGATGTTGTTGTGAGCTATAATGCCATGGCACTCTAAGTTGAGGCTCCAGAGATTCAAAAAAGAAAAAAAAAAAACAGAACCCATCATAGCCACATTCCAGAGCCCAGGCACAGCTGTGTGGGGGGCAGGACGGTATGTTCAGGAGGCCGAGGTCTCCACCATATCCCCTCATGCACCCTGACCCCTGGCTGGCCTCCATTAGTGTGGTCCCCAGGGCCCCTGGCTATAGTGAGTTACCAGGTTTAAAGGAAAGCTGCCACTCCTGGCCTCCCCAGCCTGGCTGTCCCCCAGACCTGCAGCTGTCCTGAATCTGTAGGCGGAAGTGAGCCCCAGGCCCTGCCAAGATCAGAGAGGAAGATACAGAGACGGTGCCAAGTGGGCTGCTGGCTGGCTAGAGCCGCCACGTGCCAGGAAGGGGGTGGGGCAGGTGCCAGAGTCAACACAGCCCTGGCTGGGGAGGGGCCCAAACATCTGCCGGCTGGCTGGGCCCAGGCCACTTTTTACACTGGCCGCACAGGTGTCTGGCCAGCTGGGCAGGGAGACAGCACTGGCAGCTGAACCTGCTGCCAATGACCCAGAACTGCAGGGCCAGCTCCCCTCCCATCTGTGCACATGCTCCCTTGCCAGTCATCCCCTGGGGAGGTCCAATCCCACCTCCTGCAAGCCCCAGCCTCACAGTGGCATCTAGCCCCAAACATAAGCCAAGCCTAGCCCAATCTCAGGGCCTTTGCATGTGTTGTTTCCTCGCAGGGTTCACCGTACATACTATAGGTGTGCCCGGCTCCTTCTTGCCATACAAGGCTGGACACAAATACCACGTCCTGAGCATCATGACCTGTGTCTACAGCTAAAGCTGCCAGATGCCTTCTCAGCCCCTATTGGGCCATCTTACTGTCATCCATGGCTTGTTTACTGAATTCAACCCCAAAATGCCAGCACCTGAGGAGACCTGAGTGGAGGCACCAGAGGAGACTAACTTCAGGACACTGAGGCCCCCTATCCCAGCCTCAGTTTCCCCATCTCAGCTCTCTGCTGCAGAAAATCCCTGGGATGGCCCTAGCCTCTGCTGTACCTATGACTGACTCTGACCCAGGCATCCACTCCCCAGACAGGCCGAACAGCAGCTCCCACAGTCAGCCTTTGTTCCTGGCACATGGAGAGCTTTTCCCTGCCTGGTCTGGCTTAGCCACCCAAAAACTCCCCCATCAGCATTAGGTCTCAGAGGCTGGGGCCACCTGGGTGGAGTGAGGATGGCATCTTATCAACCTCTGACCCCACTAGGCCTGACTTCCCTCTGAGGGGCCCTGACCTTGCAGGGTTGAGTTATCTGTTTGGCATCATCCCCTCCCCCCAAGCTTGGAGCTCCTGGAGGGTTGGATCCAGGGCAGACAGAAAATATTGGGTGAATAAACATATATGATTAAATATAATTCAGCCTTGAACGTGACACCTGTATTATTTTAAACCCAGAAAATATCACAAACTCTACACTCAGAGACCCCTGCCTCCAATGCAAAACCTTAGTTTCCTCATCTGCAAAATGAGAGCAGCAGCAGGTCAGCCTGTGGAGGGGACCTTTCTGCAGAGGAAAGGAAAACTGAGGCACAGAGTAGGGTAGAACCAAGTCACCCACTAAACTTCCCCAAGCATAGGCTTAGGCCAAGGTCCACACACAAAGATGCAGTGTGAGTCCAGAGCTGTGCCTTGGAGCCATGCATGGGGGGCCCAATCATGCCCAAAGTAAGGTAACACTTGCCACACTGGGACCCAGAGCCCCATCCAACCTCAGCAAGTTTCCCGAAGCACCAGTGTGCCATACCCACATGCAGCACACAGCCCACTGCTCTCATTGTTACCTTGTTGTAGCCCCAGGCTTATTTCCTACACTCCAGACCTCCAATTTCTAGTTATTTGCCAATTTTCAGCCAATCCAAATTTAAGTCTCTTCAGGGCTAAGGGGTTAGGGCACCCTTTCCCATAGGCACCTGGTGAGGCTCAGGGCAGGGAGCCCCACACAGAAGCCAGGCCTCCAGCATTCCCAGAAGGACCAGGAAGCCAGTCCTGGAGGTCCAGGTCCCAGAGGGGGCCACCCTAGAGCAGGTGTATGCCATCAGCCACGGCCCCCTCCCTGGGGCCACCCTGAGCTGAGGCTAGGGCCCTAGGCTGGAGGCAAGTTCCTACTGGCCAAGCCTGGAAGGAGGCTGGGGCAGGGACCAGCTGGCCGAGGGCTGGAATGCGAACCCAGCAGCCCGACCTCCATCTGGTTCCCATCTGCCCAGCCCAGTTCAGCGCAACTAAACTTCAAAGGATCCCCGCCTGGCCACTTCCTTTGGCCTGGCCGCCTGCAGGGAAGGGCCAGGATGGCCCCTGCTTCCTTCTTGCCCCTCCCAAAGCCCAGGGTCCTCAAGACTCCCTTATTGGCCCTGGTATCTCTTGAGTTCCTCTGTCCACCCTGCAATCATGTCAGAGCCACCCCAAGTGTCTCCTTGGCTGCCACCTTTGGCCAGCAAACCCCCACAACTCTTCATAGACTGGACTCCATGGGACCAACAGGCAGGCCACAGTGATGTGGCACCAGGGCCTTTAGCCCCTGTCACAAGGCTCCACTGACAACCTACACCAAATTCAATCCAGCTGCCTGAGCTTTGATGGAGCTATTCCCAGAGCTATTCCCTCCCTAGATCCACTTCCCTCTCTGCCTGTCACCTGTGCTGTGTCCTCCAGGTATGGATGCCAGGGAGCTACCCAAACATCTCCATCCCTGCTGGCTTCCTTCTCCAGGAATTCCAACACCAGCTCCAGCATGGCACTCAATAGCACTTGGGAATTCCAACACCAGCTCCAGCATGGCACTCAATAGCACTTGGGAATTCCAGCACCAGCTCCAGCATGGCACTCAATAGCACTTGGGATACACCCTCAACTGGAGAACTCCAGGTAGCTGCCCCCGTGCCACACAGCTCTCACCTGTTTGAACTGTTCCTCGTAGGTCCAGTCTGCATGGTCGGGTGGCTGTAGCTGGGGGGCCACATGGGTGGCCCCTCCAGAGTGGGCAGAGCCAGACCCCTGCCGCTCCTGACTCCCCAGAGCCCTGGGAAGGCCATCACCACGGAAAACCTGAGGTGGCTGAGCCTTTCGGGGGAACAAGGCAGCAGAGCCCAGTCTGGCAGGGCCTGGAGGGCCCAGCCCCTCGTCATCCTCTTCTTCCTCATAATCCTCCTCTTCTTCCTCCTCTTCTTCTTCCTCTGCCAGTTCTTCTTCAAGCTCCTCTTCCTCTTCCCATTTTGGCTTCCTGGGGTAGGCAGAGGGCAGAAGTGAGGGGAGAAGGCACCAATACCCAGGGCAAGGTCCTCTCCCTGTCCCAGCCTCTCTGACAATAGAGACAGCCAGCCTTCCACAGGCTCAGGCTGCAGAGGATCTGTGTGCACAGTTGTGTAGGGTGCTGCTAATGTATATTTTGTCCCCAATTAGCACAGAACGGCATGAATTGACCCTTTGGCTTGAACCCCAGGCCCTGCCTGCTTCCCATCCCCTGGCTCCATCCCCCAAGTGCATAGGCCTCTTTGTGGAATATGAACATTACTGTGCCAGGCTGGACCCTGTCTCACAGTCTTTGCTTAGGCTGCTCCCTTTGCCAGGCATGCTGTTCCTTTCTGCAGGGAGAACTTCCCTCACCTCTGCTTAAGTCACCTGCACAACCCCTCCCCTTCTGTTGCCACAGTACCCCTGCTAGGTTTCCTTGCCAGCCCTTTGCATAGCCTGTCACCACCTGCTTCTCTGCTTGTTAAAGGTCTTCCCAGAAAGCAGGTTCCCTGAGGCAAGGCCTTTGGGGACTAAGGATCCCAGTGGGACACACTCTCTGTGTAGGTCCCACAAGGGCTTCTGGTTTTACCTGCCCTGGACACAGAACCTGCCATAGCCATGTGTGGCTAATTTTTTTTTTTGTTTTTTGTTTTTGAGACAGAGCCTCAAGCTGTCCCCCTGGCTAAAGTGCTGTGGCATCACAGCTCACAGCAACCTCCAACTCCTGGGCTCAAATGAGTCTCCTGCCCCCCCCCCCCAAGTAGCAGGGACCATAGGCACCCGCCGCAACACCTGGCTATTTTTTGGTTGCAGCCGTCATTATTGTTTTTGGCAGGCCCGGGCTGGATTCAAACCCACTACCTTAGGTGTACGTGGCTGGCGCCTTAGCCACTTGAGCCACAGGTGCTGAGCTGCTAATTTTTTTTTTAAATTAACTAAAGTTGAAGTTTAAAATCCAGATCTGAGGCCAGGTGCAATGGCTCAAGCCTGTAACCCTAGCACTCAGGGAAGCTAAAGTGGGAGGATTGTTTGACCTCAGGAATTTGAGACCAGCCTGAGCAAAAGTAAGACCCCATCATTAAAAAAAAAAAAAAAGTTAGGCATGGTGGTAGATGCCTGTAGTCCCAACTACTTGGGAGGCTGAAGCAAGAGGATTGCTCAAGCTGAGGAATTAGAGGTTGCTATGCTATGATGTGACAGGACTCTAGCTTGGGGCAACAGAATGAGACTCCGTCTCAAAAATAAATAAAACAAAATGAATCTAGATCTGAGGCCACACTTCAAATGCTCAGCAGCCACATGTGACTAGAGGCTCCATTATGGAATGGTACCGATGGAGAACATTTCCATCATCATCTGGAAAGTGCTAACCCTGACACTGCTCCTGACACCAGCCCCCAGAGAACAGAAGTTTTGTCTCTCCTTCTACCCTGGGTCCCAGAGCCCAGAACTTCCTGGCAGTGCTCCATTAGCACACACCTATTTTACAGATTAGTAGAGTGAGGCTCAGAGCCCCAAGACACCCCTGCTCCCCAGACCTCAACTCACAGGTCCTCGTCAGAGCCCAGGTCTTCGAAGTGCCCATCTCCTGGCCCTTCCTTGCCTCGGCTAGGCAGGGTAGGTGAGCCTGGTATTCCCTCTCGGGCAGTGTCCTCATGCTCCAAGCCTGTGGGCCCATCCTCTGAGCCACCAGGGCTGGGTGAATGTCCAAGGCCTGCAGCTGCTGCCCTCATGGCTGCCAATGCAGCCATCTGGGCCCGCTGCATTCGTGCATTCTCGGGCTCTCTGTCCACATCCACAGCAGCCCGAACTCGGGCTGCAGGTCCAGCAGAGGTGTCAACAGGTGGCTGCTGCCGGGATTCCAGCTCCTGGCGTGCCCGCTGCTGCCGCTGCAAGAGCGTCTCCATCACAGCCTGCAGCTTCATGGCCCTGCGGGCCGGACCTCCACCACCCTGGCCACTACGGGTGGGAGGCCGGGGCGGCCCCTGCGGGGAGGGGGCCCGGCCGCACTGCAGCGTGGGGGCCGCGGGAGAGCCGGGACAGTGCAGGGTGGCAAGGGTGGTGGTGCAGGGCAGGGCCACTGGTCTCAGGCTAAAGGCATGCCTCCTCCTCACGCCAGGCAGTGGGGGGCAGTGGCTGACATCCTGCTCATTTAGGTGTTTATGGAAACCTGGGGGCGGCAAGAGAGACAGTCAGACCTCACCTAGGTCCATCAGCCCCATCCCTCTCGATGAAGTCCTCTGGGAAAAACCCTCACACCTGCTCCCATCAGGATGCAAACCTGGGTGCCTGCCTGGAGGCAGAGGAGCTGGCTCTCCCCATCTGCCTCCCTCTGTGAGCCCTCAGGCACACTTGGGTCGTGGGATCACCCCTCACTATATTCCCAAAGGTGTCAAGGCCCCCACCCGTCTTGGCCACACTGTCACCAACTGGGCCTGCCCAGGGGAGTTCTTCGGTTATTGCTTCATAAGCAGGTTAGTGGGGGGACTGGCACTGCTGGGCCCCGATTGGCCAGCCAGCTCTAGTCTCCAGAGTCCAAGTTGGTTCTAGGTTCTGGTTCTGAGTTCCAGGTGCTGCTTGAGCCCAAGTTGTAGCAATCTGACTCCAAATAGGCTCCAAACATCCTCTGGTCTCAGAATAACAGAGAAAAGCACTGGCCTAGAGTGAATGCTTGCTGTATACAGCCCCTACCCTCCCTACTCATGAAAGTCATGCCAACTGTAGTACCCAAGCCTCAACCTCTCTGGACTTCAGTTTCCCCATGGAAACAGCACCTACCTCACTAAACGCAAGTAGGGATAAAGCAAGTTTGTGATCATAAAAGTGGGCACATGGCAGGCACCAGACAGGTGTCAGGAAAGGAGACACTAAGATAATCCCCATTTTATAGACAAGGGAAAGTAAGGCTCAAAGATCCCTTGCTCAGGCACACAGGGCTGGGACAGGAGTCCAGGTTTGGGTGACATCAGAGCCTCCCATGCTGCCCCCATACCCTCAGTAGAAAAACAGGGGTCTGGAGTTTCCCAGTCCTTCGGGATTCCAAGTAGGCCAAATGTCTCACCCTAGCCTAGATTCCACTGACCCACTAACCCACTGCCAGCCCCAAATGCCAGGCTCCTCATGGAAACTTCCTCAGCCTGGGTCCTGCCCCAGCCCCTACCTCAGTCTCAGTCACACCCCCACTGGTCCAAGTGGCCAATAAAACAGATGAGGCAGAAACCAACAGGCCCAAGGTGACTCCCTAAAGTACATCCTAGGGACAGCAGGGTGGCAAGCTCCAAGGCATGAGGGTCCAGAAGGCTGCCCGAAATCCCTAGCCTGGAAAATGTGTCACTAAGGCTCAAGAATGTCTTCTGGGAAGGAGGAAGGGGCCAGGGTGCAGTCATCAGGTAAGGCAGAGGATCCTAGTAGCCTCCCAGAACTCCAGACCCTCTATGAGCTGCTAGGAGAGACCTGACCACACCCTGAGGAATATTGCAGTACAGACTCCCTCCATCAGCCTCCCAGTCACCAGAGGGGCCACAGGACCCACCCTCTTCCCTAACACCCTTTTACCCAGACCTCTGGTGTTCCAGTTTGTTGGATAAAAGGACAGTGGTAGGGGGCCAGGTAGGTGGACCCAGTGAGGAAGGCAAGGAGGACTGCACAACTGTGGGGAGGAGGCAGAGGTCCCAGGCACAAAGACTTCAGAGACCATGGTGCTGGGGAATGACCAGCACGGCCTGGTCCTCCAGAGGCAGCAAAGCAGCACCCTGCCCCCTACTCCAGCTGGCAGTCACCCCCCTCCCACCCAAGAAGTGCTGAGGGGACATTTCTGGCTCAGTGTCTGGTCTAGTCCACTGCCCCTCCCCCACATTTGACAACTTCAAGACAAGCCCCCCCCCCACGGAAATGCTCCAAGCAACGCCCCCCATTCTTTGGGGGGGCAGAAGGAAGAAGCCAGAGGAAGCCACTCCCCCCACCTCCCTCCCAGGCTGGCCGGGTTTAATGACCCTTCCGGGTCGCCTGGTGGGGGGAGGGGAGCAGAACAGGCCTGCACGTTGGGGCCGGCAGAGGGGGCAGGTGGGAACCCCAGACCCACCCTAGGCCACCAGCCATTAACTCTAAGCTGGCAACGCCCACCCCCTCAGACCCCTCCTCGCAAAAGCCCTTTGTCCTCGGCCTCCACCCCCACTTTATGACAGCCCCGTGAGAGGCGTTCCTCTCCCAGGACCAGGGGTGCTGGGTGGTCGTTGGAACCTGGCTGGGGAGGGGGGTCGGGAGGGATCCGGGCCACACCTTCCTTCCCCCTAGCCGGGAGGGGCGTGGGGGGGAAGAGGTCACCCGCTCAGGCCGGGGCCTTGCAAAACACGGTTATTTAAAGAGTTGTGCAAGGCTGGGGCCCGCGGGTGGCGAAAGGGGCCCCTCACTCCACGGAGGGAAGAGGAGGGGGAGGGGGTGAGAGCTGGGGTGGGGACCAAAATAGTGGGGGGGGGGCGGAGGAAATGAGAAAAGAAAAACTCAAGAAAGAGAAGAAACTAAAGAAAGACGACAAAAACCCTGGTCCAGATTTCAAAAGCTTCTTGGAAAGAGGCCGATTTGCATGGAAGGGCAACCCCTCTGGCCCGAGCAACTAAAAAGGGAAGAAAACTGACGAGCCGCCGCCTGGGGTTGGCTGCGGAACGTTGGAGTTGACAAACGCGCGCTCCTCGCGCTTCCTGCGCCCGCTTTTGTGTCTGGGGGGGCTCTAGGACCGAGAGGCTTTTCCCTGGGGTCCCCGCCCGGGAGCCGCGGCCAAACCCACCCCGGGCCCCAGGGCTGTGGTGTCTCCTCCAGGGGCCCCTTTCTGCGCCGGAGGTGACACTTTATAAATAAACCGACCAGGCTAGGGAGGGTCGCCGAGAACTATCCTCCCCTGTGGGTTTCCGAATAAACACCCGATTTCAGGGAGAAAAATAAAGTAAAATAAAATTCCGGGGTGCAGCCCCCCGCGCGCGCACAGAGCCCACTTCCTTCCGCTGGGGAGGTGGGAGCGCGCACTCGCGACCCCCCGAACGCTCCCGCGCGCCCCTGTGCAATTTAATAGATGAGGTCTCCAAGCCGGGGAGCGCAGAGAAAACCCTCCAAGCCTTGACCCACTGGGGTCGCCTTCCCAGCCCCGGACCCCTACCAACATCTCTGCCTAACTTTGAGGACCTCCTCTGTTTGGCTTCCAGGGTGGAGTGCGCCCACCCCGGGACCGGAACTCGCACCGTGGAAGGCCAGTGAGGCCCCCGGCCTTACCGCGCGCAGCGGCCCGGAGGGGGGGGGGCGCAAACCTCCACGCCTGGCGTTGGCCCGGCCCGGCCCCGCCTGGCCTCCCCGGCCGCCGGTGCGCGCCGCTGGCTCCGGCTGCCCAACCCGCCGGGGCTATGCCGCGAGCAGACTCACCGAGTCGCTAGTCGCGTCCGCGTCTACACCCCCATCCGCCCCGATTGGTAAGAGTCGCCCCGAGCGCGCCGGCCCCCCGCCCCACCCCTCCCCCCACCGGCGCTCACCGCCCCGCAGACAAATCACCGGGTGACAAATCGCTCTCAGATGCAAATACCTCGCCGGTGATTCAGCGCCGCGGTCCGGGACGCGGGAGGGGTCTCGCGAGGCCCCCTCCCTTTTTCCTGGACGCCCCCTGGTGCCCCAGGCTCGGCCAGACGTCCAACGACTAGCCAAGGGGAGCTGGGGGGCAGGGGGAGTGGACGGAAATTCTCAAGTTGCGGCCCCTTTAAATGATAATAAATAATGAAAGAGAAGGGGGAACAACGATGCTGACGCCCCGCCTCCTGCTTAGGGAGGATGGGCAATGTGTGAGTCGCGGCCGGGGACGCAGAGGGCGCCGAGAACGCGGACTGGGCAGGTAGCACCTAAGGGGGAGAGGGAAAGTGGGCCTTCGCTTCGAGGAGTTAAGAGGGGGATGACCTGCGCGGGGTCTGGGATTCGCCCCCCTCCAGCTCTTACGATGGGTCTACTGGGCTCGGAAATTCACCTCTGCCCCTTAGATTGAGCCACCGGGAGGGAGTGACTTCACCCCTAGAGCCTTGGTTTCCACTTCTGTGAAATGGGATTGATGACCCAGGGAGGAACTGAGCTCCGGGGAGAATTTATAGTGGGCGAGATCAGAGGGATGGAACCAGGGTCCTGCCAGGGGGCGCGGCTGGGTGGAGAAGGGTTTCCTGGAGGGTGGGTAAGGAGGAGTGGCTCAGCGTGGAGGAGGACTGGTTGGTTCCGGAGAGAATGCCCCTTACCTCTCAGCAGCTTGACAGCCCACCGTTTAGCAGGCTAGCTAAGATTACCCTCTTGACAATCATAATTTAATATAATTTCCACTTTCAGAGCATTCAGTTGCCTGAGCATTGCTCAGTGAGTGTGGTTCATTCATGTGTTCAACCCTCACGTCTCCACGTAGCAAAGACACTTCTTGTCTCCAGTTTCTTGTCCCCATTTCGCAGAGCAGGAAACTGAAGCTGAGAGCCGGGAAGGCGGGGCAGGGGTAATAGGCTCTACTGGGAGCTGTGTTGTCTAGAGGCCACCCCAGGGAACTAATCGCAGAGCTCTGGCTCCAGCCCTAATAAATAGCCAAGCATACAGGGCAGGGCGGCGCAAGGGCCACCCAGAGAGGCGCTGCTTTCGAGGGTCCCTACCGGCAGGCTCCAGTCCCTGGTCTTGAGTGTTGGATAGCCCCTCCGCCTTTCCTAAGGCACACAGCATCGCCATTTCCTATAGGCCCTGCTCCCACATCGCAACTCCTTCCCCCAAATCTCGGCCTCACTCTCTCAGAGCGTCCCAAGTCTTGTCCAGAGGGGTGGGCACAGGAGAGCTTCCTCCCCCCACCTCACCACCCTGCCAGGGCCACGTGTAGCCTAATAGCAGCAGGTGGCTGGGAAACCACCCTTAGGCTACTGAACACCCACCCCAGCTGTCCCCCCATTCC